TACGAGCTATTAGCCTCAGCTTGTTCACATCTGTTTTTACACATGTATTGCTTTACAGCTTTTGCCGTAACGCCTGCGGCTATGCTTTGAATAATGTTGCACGCTTGTCAAGCCCGTCCTCCCTCCCACTCTCTCACTCAATTGGCCTCTAGTTACGATTTGACTTTGTATACATATATATATTTATCCCAATAATTTTCGGCTGCGCTATGCTCTGCTGCTTGCCAAAAAACAAAGCATTTTAATGCCACAGCACATTTGAAATAATTTCCATGCAATCCATATAGCTGCCTTTATATATTTATATATACATAAATGTATATCTATTTGTGCGTATGTATTTCTGCCCGAGATTTTGCACGCTTGCATCTGAGTGCATAAATATATTTATGCAAATCCTAAGCGCTCCTGGCATTTATTTTCCTGCTCAGCATTTTGCTAGCAACTGAAAATGACTCTGCTCTGGTTAATATATTGACTTTTGTTTTCCTTATTGCTTATCTTGGGATCAAGTTAATATAATGAGAGAACTTTGATGCACAGAAAATAAAAAAAAAAACATCTATTTAATATATATTTAACATATAATTTAATATAGCAAATTATATAATCTCTATTTAATATTGAATTTATATTTTGTCCACATATTTCTTTTGCCCTAAAGAGTGTACAATATTCTGCTTAAATATGGATGTCCTACCTTTGTAATTTTCGTAGCATACTTAAGTGCGTTTGATTGTCTGCATGCGTGTCTGTTGGTCGAACAGTGTGCTTTGCATCTGATACTTAGCCGGTAAACATTTGCAAAAAGGCTTAATTTGTTTATGCACGGCAAACAAATTGTTGCAATAATGAAAATTCCATATGGCACTGGCTTAAAGCAAATCTTAAGCAAAGCAAAGCCCGAAGAAAATGAAAATGGCAATGTTAATTTAATTGCGATGTAAATTGAAGGCGGGACCTGCTTGAGTTAACTTTCGCGCCAGCTGCAATAAGATAAAAGATCATGGTTATAAAAACATAAAATTGTGCTCAAACTTTGAGAGCAACATTTTTTAATTTTTTTCTTTTCCGGCTCAGGCCAACTCTGACACAAAACTGGTTGTCTCAAGTGTGAAGTGAAATTCATATACACAGAGAGCGAGAGAGAGAAAGTGTGTGTGTGCGCTGCGATAAAGATGGGGAAGCACACATAAGTGCAGTTTCCGTCTTTGACTCCGCACATAAATCTTAAGACAGTCAACGACATCATATGCCAAGTCAGCGAGGTCAGATGAGCTCGCTCTGCGCCAAGAGTGGATGGGCTTGTGGACTGTGGGAGATGTTTTCCCAAAAATTATATGCCGCACGAAGCCTGTGCAGAAAGTTTATGCGCATTTCATTCTTCGCATAATTGTGAGGAGCAGAGACAGAGGGACAGAGGCAGAGCACCAAAACGAGCAGCTGCAACTCGAGAGGACGAAGTGCGCGTTGCCGGTTTGAGGAAACCAATTTGTGGTAATTGTCGTGAAATTGCAATTCCTGCAACTGTAATGGGCCAAGTGCAGCTACAGTTGCGCCACAGCCGAAAAGCGAGACGGGCCGTGACTTGGTTAAATGAGGTTCCAGCCAGTGTAATTCGCTAAGAAAACTCCGAGTGTGGGTGCCTGAGTGAGTGAGCAACTGCGTTCAGCTGAAATAATGCAGTGGCCGTAAAGGTCTATGCAAGTGAATGCATAAATGACAAATATGAACAGGTTGAATGCAGCTTGTAGGAGTATAAAGTGCTTTAAAAAAATATATATATTAAGGGGATTAAATAAAATGCTAAACAAAATAGTCACCTAAGTGCGCAGCTGACAAATGATTTCGAATATAAAAGATGTACCATAGAGGAACTGAAAAATAAAATAAAAACGTGTTATAATTGAAAAAGACTATATATAGTATAGTAACATTTATACTAGAAATGGAACTAAACTTGTGCTAGTATAATAAGAATTCTTCACTTTTTAAAAAATTTTTCATTATTTAAATATACAACAAAAATTAAAATTAAAATAAAAAACTACAATAAAAACAAGAAAATAATTTATATTTATATTTGCACTTCCTTTTATGTTATTTAACTAATTTTTAAATGTATAACTAATTTTATATATATCTTATCAATAACTCAGTACAAATCAAACATTGATTATTAATTTTCCTTTATAGACCAAGAGAATCTAGAACTTCTGCAGCATTAGAAGTCATTTTCACAGCCAAATTATAAAGATTCAAAAACTTATCTGTGTGAATCTGATCAATCCACTTTCTAGTTTCACCCAAGTCCCATAGACGTTGATTTGTTATAAGCTTACCAAATTTATATGATATGGTATTCGCTAAAGCATTATATTTTATGTTCCAAATGAAGTGCATACGAGTTGGCAGCAACCTAACACCGCCATATATTGATGTTGCTTTATCGTTAGCTGAAATTTACGGCATGCCAGTAGCAGCGAATGCGCATTCGCGGATACAATGCAGATACTTGTAGATACTTGCAGATACTTAAAGATACTTGGCTTGGCTTTGCCAGCTTTATCGGGGCAAAATCACGTGCGCATAAAACTTTCCAATCAGCAATGGTCACACACACTCTCTCTCTCTCTCGCTCTCTCTCTCCCTCTCACACATATTCGTGTGGCACCTGTAAAAGAGGTGCTTAACAAGCTCTCAGCAACAACATCGTTGCACCTGTCGCTGAGTCAGTTGCAATAAGTTGGTTCGTTTTTATTCCTTTCTCATTTGTTATTTCTCTTTTTCTTCAGCTACTTCTTCTTTTTTGTCATAGTTTGCGTTATCTTTTGCTAGCGAGAAAGTTGGAACTTGAAATGGAAAATCCATACAATAAATATATAAAATGTTACTTTCTGTGTCACACCTGAACTAACCTCAAATAAATTTCCCGCACATGTGTCAGGCAGGCAGGCAGGCAAACAAAAGAATGAACAAAGTGCAATCCATATATGTGTGGATGTATGTATGTATTTAGCACAAGGAGTGTGTGTTGAAAAACTTTTTGTTCGATAAGAGACCAGCGGGCAAGACCTGAGGCTGCAGCTGAGAGCTATGCGTCGCATGCAGCTCCACATCTCCCCATTGTGCCCCTCCAGCAACGCAAATAACCTTCGTCTTGCAGGCGAAACGCAACAATTTCCAATCACTTCCGTTGCAGCGACACAATTTTCTATATTTATACTTTACGACAGCAGTTCAGAAGCTCGTCTTCTCCCTCTCCCTCTAAAAAAAAAAAGGCTAAAGAGGGATAACGAAAAAATGTTAGAAAAATAGCTAAAACAGAGCTAAGAGCGAATGCTCTTAAAAACTATGTCTTGTGTGATATATCAAAACTGTATAATGAATAGTTCTACCATACAGGTAGCAGATAATTTAAAAATAATAAAATATGACAACAAATATAATATTTATTAAAATAATTTATAATAATAAACAAAATAAAAATAGTCAACATGATAATAAGAACAAATTTACTAAATATTAATTTTTTGTTTAAATATATTTACAACACTTTTCAAATAATAATTATTTTAAAAATGTTAAAAATTTCAAAAAAAAAAATTTCTTTTTTTTCTTTTTCTTTTAACTGTTCTTACTTCATAGTCAACTTGTCCTCAGTTAGGGTATTTGGCAAGTGGTTTCAATACACGCTTAGTTTATTTTTGAAGCCAGCTTCAGTTGGAATTGGTTAGCAACGCCTCCTATTGTTGCCGCTGCTCCCGCTCCCGCTCGACACCACGTTGCGTATGAGTGTTGTCTATGCATCGGAAACTTTGGGAACGCTTCTCTAAAGTGTTGCGAAATGAAAAGTTTTCATGCGCTTTGTTGTTGCAATGATTCGATTTGTTGCGATTGCGTTTTTAGTCTTTTGCATGTGCGCTCCAAAACTTTTGCACCTCCCCCCACACACCTCACACCCCGCCACCATCAACCAAAGCGTGGACTCCGTGGGCGAGCAATGGGCTTACGTTGCGTATGCGTATTGTGCTTGGGCCAAGATAAAGCAAGCAATTGCGATGCAAAAACTTTGCACACACAAATACCCTACTGGGGCGAGCCCGAGCAGCAATCGAGCTCTGCTCCTTGGATTTATTGTTGCAACTTAAAGTTGCTTCCGTTGCCAGCAGTTGCAGTTGCAGTTGCAGTTGCAGCGGCAGCAGCTGCTTGTCAATTGCGCAGAAAATCACTTTTAAAGTTGCGGCCTGATTAATTTTGGTTGATATGATTCCACAAAATATTACGCATACCACATGTTAAATCAGTTGCATTTTATTATATACCCAAGCGTTCTCAAGCGCCCCAATCGAAAAATTGAGGCAGTCACCACTAGGGCTCCATGCAGAACAAACTGCCTTAAGAGCATAATTATGAATTGTTGTTTGCCATTAAGTTGTGCTTCACTTATATATATATATATATATATATATATGAAATATTAAATGTGAGTGCAACATACTCTACAAAACGACTAGAAGGTAGTTTAGGTTTAAGAATAAGTGACTGTAAACTGGAAATCAAAATTTATACTCTACAAACTGAGTTTAAAGGGAGTGTTAAATCTATAAGATGTTCTTTTATATATTTAAATAAAATAAAACACAAGGTATTATATATATTTTATATCATATTCAAGCCCTTTTATAAGCTCCTTTCTCCCCCAATATAATTTATTCATATATTTTATTACAAATTCATCTCATTTATAAAAACTATATACCCCTTTACCACTCATTCTGTAAAACAATTAAAATTGTCGCCATGTTGTTGGCCTCCTTTTCCCTCTCTCTCTCTCTCTTTCTCATTCTCTCTCTTCCTCTTCTTCCCTCTTCTACTTGAACATTTACCACTTGAACTTTACATTTATATAAATTGCCAACAATTTTTTCGTAACATTTTTGTTGTTTTCGTAGTAAAATTTTCATATAATTTGTTATGTATTTTGTTGTTATTTGCAGAGCGCAAACTTTTCGTTGGCATGCTGAATAAAAAATATACGGAAGCTGATGTGAGGCAACTATTCACGGGCCACGGCACCATCGAGGAGTGCACCGTGCTGCGGGATCAGGTGGGCCAGAGCAAGGGCTGCGCCTTCGTAACATTCGCAACCAAGCAGAATGCCATTGGGGCGATCAAGGTAAGTTGTGATAGAGTATTCTATATATGTATATGTTATATTATCAAGTAGTAGATCGCTCGTGTAAAGTTCGTTTAAAGCTTTAAGCCTGTCATTTGTACACATGATCTGTGTGTGTTGTGTGAAAGTATCTGTGCTGGCCGCATCGCAAAACTGTCGCAATGATTAATTGCTGTGGCGGCAAGAGTCGCGCATATAAAACACGATGCTCCACGGCAGCATAAAGTGAGAAGCTACGGGCATTCAATAGCTGCGTAAGCCAAAGGATACCCTAAATGGTATCTATAGTCATTTAGGGTATCCTTTGGCTTAAGCAGCTATTGCCTACTGCCTAAGATAATGAGAAATTGTTGTTCAATAATATATTATATTATTTATGCTCCATAGTTGGCTTTTCAAGAAAATTTTTTGGCAGAATTCTAAAAAATTTTATATAAAAGCTTTTATCAAATATACTGAATCTACTTTCATTGTTGTAAAATATACTTTTTGTTTATATAATTTTTTTCCATTATTTTATTTTATTATTTTGTATTATTTTATAAATAATTATATATAATTCCCTTCAGCTGTGCGTCGTTAACTTTTGATGCCTATTCGAAAATCTATTCATAGTCAACCTCTTCACATATATTTAAGATTATATGCAACAGTTAATTGAAAGCTTGTGCATTTCAGCATGCATATAATAAATTTAAGCTATTAGTCTGTCATATCCTACTCATGCCTAAATGACTGAGCATAAGCCGCGTGCAGCTGCAACAACAGCAACAACAGCAACAACAACAGCAGCAGCGGCAACAGGAAGTAGAAATGCAAGCAAGACGCCGCCGCTGGCAGCGGAAGAAGTCAACGGCAATGCTTTTGCCCGAGCAGAGAGCCAAACAGATTCCATAGCAAAAGCCATGTGCCCCAGCCTGCAATGGTCACACACATGCATACACATTCACACACATACACACACTAACATGTCCACACTAATGCAAGTTTTGTGCCGGAAACAGGGAAAATTACAAACTTCCGACAGGCAAACACAAACACATGTAAAGCACACACCAAAAGCAACTAAAGAGTGGGAGGCTGTGTGTATGTGTGTACATTGGGTTGTATTTAGGGTGGACCAAAGAGTGGGCGACTCAAACACGTTGTCTCTGTGTCTGTGCATTGCACATAATTTGTCGCCTTTTGCAAGATGAATGTGTTGCGGGCGAGCTGCATTATATACAAGCAGACAAATACATATAAATATGTGTATATATGAATGTATATAGCACTACATACGGACGCATGCGTATGTATGTGTGTATTTGTTGTGCAATTTTAATGCATTTGAAGTCAAATTACTGAATGCGAGGCACGCACCAAGCCAAACGCAATGAGCTGCTGCAGCTGCCTCTGCTGCTGCCGCTGCCGCTGCTGCTGCTGCTGCTGCTGCTGCTGCTGCTGCTGCTGGCCAAATGATTTGGCAAGTCAGCGCTGTATGGGCAAAAGGAAAAAGGGTTAAGGAGTGCGAGATGCTGAGCTTAAGGGCCAACAACGTGAGAGGCAGGGCAGTAGCTGCAAGTCATTGCCGTCCATTGACGCCTGAAAGTATGCAATGCCGAGCGAGCAAGCGAGCGAGCGAAGAGTGAAATGCATTTAATATTAATGTGCCATGTTTGTAAAGCCAGCAATTTATTTTGCCACAGCCACGCCCACCCAACAATTGTCTCTTCTCCATCATGGCTTTCAATGGCTGCTGCTGCTGCTGTGTATTTTCTTTTTTACTTCTTTTTTTTTTACAAATGATGATACACATTTTCTCATCACATGCAGATTTTGTTCTCGCGCTAATTTGTCATGTGTTTCTGAGCACTTGGCTCAGACTGTAAAGCGGAATTTCATGTTGATTACCAGGTCATTTAACTCGTCTTTAATTTTTTGTTGTTTTTAGCCAGCTGCGAAAACTGTGAAGATTGTGGGCGAACAGGCGAAAGAGCGAAATAAGAAAATAAAATGTGGATTTTTTTATATTTTGCAACTAAAAACAGAATTTCGCTTATTATTATTTACTCCCCTTGCAGTTACAAGAATGCCTGGTACAATTCTCCACTTACACAAACAAATTTCTGCATATAAAAACATACTTGAATAAAAAGCGCATATCTATAATAATCAAAAATGTTTATCAATAATTGAGATGCTTCTTTCATTAACGTAAAACATTTTCTTGCTATACTCAATGAATTCACATCTCCTGTTCGCATTTCTTTTTGTGCACTTTTTGGCTTGCCAACATGGTTATTACGGCGGGTAACTCTAGCGACCTGTTTAAAAAGTCGGAAATTTGCCTAATTACTTTGTTGCCAGCAGCAGGATGCGACACTGTAAATGCAATAACAACAACAGCGGCAACAACAAAAACAACAACCGTTGCAGTAACAGCAGCAGCCGGTCATAAAAGTCGCGCCACAGCCGCAAGAATTATAGTCAATGTAATTAAAGAGCACTTCTGTTGACTGTGCCAGAACAGAACACCCTGATACCCAGACCCAGGACACTGGATCCAGGCAGTCAGGCAGTCAGGCAGCCAGTCAGGCAAGACCCAAGAGGCGGCAGCCACAGCAGCCAGAATTTCACAAACTGTCGGCCCAGCCACAATTGAGCGGAAGTTGGCGAGGCTCGTCGCCTGGTCTCAATGATAAAGTCTACATAAACCGGGAAATGACTAAAGTGGCTTGGGCCCATTCCGTTGCAGGCGCTCGGCTCTTACGCCACACCAGCCCGTAGCGCAGCCCGCAGCATCCTCCCCAGCGGAAGTGCATCTAATGCCGCGCGCGATTTGGCCTGGTTTATGTTTTAGTTTCGTGTCCATTTGTTTGTTTTGTGCGGGCTTAGTAAAAGGTGTAAATTAAGTCGCTTAGGCTAAATTGCTGCGGTTTGTAGCAACAGCAACCGGGCTGATCCTGCAGCAGGAAGCCTTGGCCAGGCAGCGGCTTTGTTATTGCTCCAGCTTAAGTTCGCGTCATTATTATTTTGTTCCACCCATAAAACTTATAGAAACAGCCAAAGTTGACTCAGTTCTTGGCTGCTCAAGTCTCTGCCGGCTGAAATTGGGACAAAGACGTTCAATGGAACTTTATTCGTGTGCCACAGAAGCTGTTTATAAGACCTTGAGTATAGTGGTTGCTAGGAATTATGAGCATGGAATTATTCTGAAGTGAAGCAATTTATGTCGATGCCCAGTCAATGTCCCAGATTAATTTCTCTCAAGTGTAATACTATTTTTATGACTTGTTCAATCAATCAAGTATTGAGGCCAGTGACCCCAGCCACTAGTCAATCGAATGTCAATCTAACAAGCCTATAATCTATTTCAGTACTCTGATGGAAATCTTTCTTCGGCAATCAGACTATTCCTGATTCAATAAAACTCAGAGGAAATCCATTCCGCTTTTCAGCTTTTCACTAAGTATATCAATCAATTCGAAGTACTATAACTTTTCTTAACGACTCAATACATTATTGAGTCAGCCAATCAAATAACTATAAACTAATAAGCTTAGTTTATCATTAACTATAGTAGTTATGATCTATGATTCTGGAACTCATCTAATAAATATACTAATCCATGTCAATAAAGCTGACAATACAGTCAATCAATTAATCAGTTTATCTGTTATTTAATCAATCTCAATCAATCAACTTGCATATACCAGCTATGATTGATAATTTAGTAAGTTAATCACTTAATTTGTTCATCAATCACAATCAATCAACATGTATATATCAGTAATGAGCGATGAATATATAAGTCAATTACTCTATTAGTTAATCAATCGAATTTAATATGGTACCTATGATAGGTAAGTCACTCAATAGGTCAGTTAGTCGTCAATAAAGCTAATTATCTATAATATCAATCAATCAATATATATATTAACTCAATCAGTCATTCAATCAAAGCAGTGTCTTATGTTAATTATATTTATATTATATATTCCTCAATCTGCAATACACTAACTGTATATACAACCCTCTCTCGCTCTCATCGTTTCAGGCCCTGCATCAGAGCCAGACCATGGAAGGCTGCTCGGCGCCTCTGGTCGTGAAGTTCGCCGACACGCAAAAGGAAAAGGATCAAAAGAAGATGCAACAGCTGCAGGCCATATGTGGCATCAGTGCACTGACACAAACGCCCAGCGGCGCTGCAGCAGCGGCTGCCACGCCCACAGCGAACCCGGCCACAGCGCTGATTGCCGCAGCGCCGGCAGCTCAACGCCCGAATCCTTCAATGGCCGCAGCGTTGGCCGGTGTGCCGCCGGTGCAGAGCGCTGGCGCGGCAGCACAGACGCCGACGCTCGTCTCAGTGCCGACGACGGCAGCGCTGAGCGCTTCGCTAGCTCCGGCATTGCTCGGCAACAGTCCGCATCATGCCCAGACGCCTGGCGCAGCGGCAGCCGCAGCAGCAGCTGCCTACCTCAGCGCTGATCCCACGGCTCACTTGCAGCTCTATCAACAGATGCAGCCCTACGGACTACTGCCGGCCCACTATCTGCAAGGTGAGTGTGCAAGGTTCGAAAAGGACCGAAGTAGTTAGTGAATAAGCCACCCCTCTCCCCCCCTCCCTTTAAAAAAGAATACATCCAATCGGAATGTCCCTCAGCTCAGTTAGTCATTGCCATAAACAGTAAAAAATCCACAGTGTTTCCTTTTCTACCTCTACCTCTATCTCTGTCTCTCTTTACCTATCTCTTTCTTTTCCTCTATGTCTGCATTTGTCTCTATATATATTTCTCGATTTCTTTGTTTTTACACATTTTGCTCGATAAAAAAAATATCCTCAACTATTTCTAGTGTTAATTGCGCGCACTTTGTGTCTTGTTTTTTCTTTTTTTTCTCAATTGCAACCAAAAATCAATTTTAATTGTTTTATTTAATTGCGTGTTTAGTTTATCTATGCGTTGTACCCATTACCAAATAATTTGTGTAACTCTTTTTCGTATTTATTTATCAATTTATCTGTTTCGTTTCGCCATTGAATTTTCCTTGTTTACATGGAATTTCAATTAGTTTTGCATTTCGTTTTGTGTGTAAAATGTTTTTTTTTTTTTTTTTTTTTTGGGTGTGAATTAGAATTTATTAAGGAGGTTACCAAAGCTGAGTAAATGATTGGCAAGATATAATAAGCAAAGACAACTATATTGAATGAGCTGCAAACTGATGGAAAAGCTGTTGACCTGAGTTGAGGCGAGGAAACTGTTGTTTTTTTGTTTTTTTTTTTTTTTTTTTTTTTTGTAATTAACAGTAAACAAAATTTTTATTTTTATTCGGCTAAAAAAATATAGTGTGAAAACCAAAAATAATTTATTTTTAAATTTAAAAGGCTCGGTTAGTCGACTTTCCTTAATCAAGCTAGTCTAGCTTTAATATATTTTCATTTTACTTTGGGACTGCAGGTAAAATGTTAGATTCATTTTCCACAATATTTCATAGGGCTTCCCGCAAGATAAATGACTTTAAATGTGGCAAACTAAGCGCTCGTACACAGCAGTCATTTGTTGAGCATTTAAAAAAGTAAACAAGAATTAATGTAAAAGTTGCAAATGCCAGCGATTTTTTCTATTATTTTCTTATTTTTTTTTCTCTGCTAACTCTGTCGTCGTTTCATTTATAACAAGCGACTTCTCGGCTGACACAAAGTCAGCTAAAGAGAAACTAACAAAGACATGAATAACAGTTGAACAGTTGGACAATTGGACAGGAGGCAGTGTCGAGCACCTACAACCCCTGCAACCTCCCATTCATCCCAGTCGCATCCAAAGCTGGCGTCGCTTCAGTCATTTGCAAGCGACAACTGTCAAATAATTAATTTCAATTTAAGCAAACGAAATTTACATAAATGTAGAACAGAGCGTAACAAAACAGGAGAAAGAAGAGAGAAAAAGAAAAAACAATGTTGAAATATATATATATATATGTATGTGTGTGAAAGGCAATGTTAAGGTAGGGTAGCTACGAGTGGGTTTTTGAAGAGCAGGCCGGACTAAAGAGCATGATGAATAAAACAAAAATTCTAATAGGATTAAAAGGTGGACAGGCGCAGGCAATGGCCAAGGCATTGCACAGATTTCAGACCAAAGATATAGCAACAACAACAACAACAACAAGTACAAGCACACAAACACACATATATATATGTACAAAGTTACAGTTACAGACAGACACCAATACTGCGACACGTACGCGGCGTCAATGTGAACGTGTTGCATATGCAACGGCGCTTCATTAGAATGGCCAACATGCCACGCCCATACCGAACAGCACAACTCTCAACTCTCTGGTCTGTCCGTCCAGTCTGTCCAGTCTGTCTGGCCAGTCTCGACGACGTGAACATTTTGCGCATAACAAATCAAGCACAAGAGTTGCCAACAACAACAACAAGATCCAAAAGAATCACAGACAGCCAAATGTTGAGCGACGCATGATGTAATCGTACAAAAAAAAAAAAAAAAAAGATGTTGATGTAACTTTGTTTACATAGGGAACACTGCGAATGCTCTTTAAGTATTTCTGCAATATAAATAAAATATTAAAAAAATATATATATGTATGATATATTATTATTTTAATGTTTGCAATGCTTAAATGCAATTATTTTCTTAGATTTATGACCTTCATAATCTGAAAGAATTTAAACAGATTTTCAAAATATTAGTTTCTCGTATGTGCAGTCAAAGGTAGAACAATTTATTGACTAATTATCAAACAAAGACGAATATTAACTGACAAAGAGTCTTCATAGAACCCATACACACACACATCATTGCAACATCTCTACGCTAATCTGACAGACTTTATAACAAAGCCGTTGGACACTCTACCAAGCGGAGTATTCTGCAGCTGGGTGGTGGCAAATGGGGAACAGTTAACGGCAACGGTAAGCGGTGACAGCCAAGGGCAGAGATGGGCAGTTAGAGGCAACTTAGAGCGACGTATGCCACTTGAATAACAAATGACTTTTTTTAAATGTCAGCAACGGACTGTCAGCCGAGACTGAAGCTTGGACTCTAAATGGGGGCGCTCCCTGATGGTCAGCAAATGTATGGGACGTGCTTTTTATGTTAGACCAAAAATAAAAAATAAAAAAAAGAGAAAAAGTAGACAAAATAACAGAGAGTACAAAAAAATATAGAAATCCGTCTTTTGGTTAAGTGTGCAACCTGTAAATGTGGCAGATTTAACCAATTTACGCTAAAAGTTTCTATGCGGAACTTTTCGCGCTCGCACTTGAATTGGTGTAGAAAAAAGGGCCAGACAGCTGAGGGGGACATGGCAGTTGCTAATTATTTAATATGGCATGCGAGCATGTGCAAAAACCTTTAGCGTGTGCTTTAGCAACATTTTCATGCAACAGAAATTATGCTTTTGCCCACACTTCTGGCATATTTGGAGCTGCAATTTTTATAAGCCATGCCAAGTTCCCGAGGCTGCACAACATCAAAGGCAGCGCTCGGTGAGGCCTAAGAAAGACACAAGAATTGCCAACGGCGACATCTAGCAGCAGAAGGAGGCGGGCGTCCATGATACCCAATAGCCTGGAGCCTCTGAGAAGGACGCTGGCATGCAAACAAATGCACAATATAGAAAGGATGAAAAAGTAAAGAAAAGAAGATACAAATGAGTATACACTGAGAACAAAAATGGGTTAAATGATACAGAAATATTTTAGAGAAGAGAGAAACAACAGGTCTAAATTTTAGCCTTAAGCTGATATTTTCTAATCTATTTTCTAATCCATTCAAAATGGGAAATCGGGGAATAATTTTTGTTTATTAATAAATTTTATTCCAATCTGCTTCAGCCTCACTAAAAGAAACTAAACTATTAAACTAAACTATTATTCATTTGCTTAGGGAAAATCCGACAAATTTCTCTCTGTGCACCGCAGGCCACAGGTGAAGCGCACTTAAAATTTTATGAAGACGACAAAGCCCCAAAGGCTTAAGCGCGTGATAGCAAAGAATATAAAAACAGAAACAACAAAAAATGCATTGTCTATGATAGGTGAAATAATGGTTTTTCCAGCAGCCAACTTGCAGCTCATTCAAAGTGCAATTTGCTTTAAAAAATTGTGAACAAAAAGGAAAATAGATAAAAATTTGAAAAAGAAAAAGAAGAGTAACAAATTTTTGTGAAATTCGCAAGAAAGGTATCTAAAAACATTGCCTGTTTTGTTGAATGTTGTGCCCCATGTCTGTGTTCATCAATATTTGTGGGCATGCCACATACACAAACACATTCACACACACACACACGCGCGCATATGTAAACACACATACACACCCGTGCCTGACAGTCCATGTGTCGCTCGCTCCTTACCTCCGCCTCTATCGAGTACTCCACCTCCATATTCAGCAGTCCTGCGTTTTGTGTAGCTGCTTGCCAACTAATTTAGTCAGAGCTCGTAAGATTTTGTTGCAGCCCCAACAACAGTTTGCCGTTGGTTAGCGCCCTAAAAAACTACCGCCACGCCTTTCATTTCGAGCAGCCTTCTTACCTTAGAGCCTTTTAATGCAAATGCATAATTATTAATTTATTTTTAATTTAATTATTTAGCTATTACTATATGTCTAACTGCATTTGAAATTGAATTTATGTCTATGCGTTTTTAGTAATTTTATTAATGTTTTATTTTAAATATTTTATTTGTTTATCCTTTTTATCAAAATTGTGTTTTATTTTTATTTTTATTTTTGACTTTGGTTGTATTATTAATTTTGTTTATTTTACTATTTATGATTTGTTTTTTTTTTTTTATTTATTTGTTTATTTTTTTCTTTTATTAATTTCTTCTCCTTTTTTAATTTGTATGCCCTTTTATGTTTTATTTATGTTTTATGATTTGTATGTTATATATATTTAAATGAAAAACGAAAAAAAAAACAATTTCAACAAAATTAATTTTTAATTTCTTGTAAATGTAAATAATCCAATTGGGTGTGTGTTTTCTTCTATGTTTTTTATATATATAAATATTCGTTGAACATTTTTTGGTATGTCTATGATTGACTCTGTGGTCATGTACAAAAACAAATCAATCAATCAATCAATCAACCAACTCAACCAAACCTTACAACCATAAACCAAAACTCAAAAACTGTACAAAAAAAAAATCAAAAAAAAAAAAAAAAAAAAAAATATGGAAACTGAAAACAGGACTAAATTTCCACCCACCGGATAACAGTGCCCACCACAGCCAACACGGCCCATCATCCGGCGCTGCCGGGAGCACAGCAGCAGCAACTCTATCGGCTGCAGGCGCCGCCGCAGCTGCAGCTGCAGCAGCAGCTGTCGCCGGGTCACCCGCATCAGCAGCAGCAGGCGCACCACCCCCAACATCATCATCATCTCTCCCACTTGGCATCGCATCACCAGCATCCATCTACAGCGGCGGCGGCGGCAGCAGCGGCAGCTGCAGCGGGAGTCTCGCTGCCGCCGGGCATGCTCCTGGCACTGGACTGCTCGCCAATGCATCCATGTCTATGCAGAATCTGGTAACATTGTTCAATGCTAGCCAGCACAGCAACAGCAGCAGCATCAGCAGCCTCAGTCACAGCCATCGCCTCCACAGCAGCAACAGCAACAGCAACAATAGCAACAACAGCATCAACAGCCACATACCCAGCAGCAACAGCATTCTCAATAGTCATCAGCGTCAGCTTGGTGCCAGCTTCGCGCCCAACGCTGGAAATTTGGTCACGCATGCGCAGCACAATTTTAGTTTGGCACAGCTAATGGGCGTGGCACCGCCACCGCCGCCAGCGAGCGCCAGCCAAGCGCTCACGCTGAGCGCGCTCTGTAAGTAGATGACAATCTCTTTGTTTGTATATGTATTTGTGTGTATGTATGTATGTCTGTATGTGTGTGCGGGCGTGAATGTGTGTGTATATAACTGTTAACTGTCTGTATGAAAATGTGTGTACTAAAAGTGGATTTACAAGAACCGCCTGCACTACCACCCACACACACCCAAGACACGCCTCCCCATTCCTGCAGCTATGTGCCGCCTGCATGTGCCTTGCCCTGCTCCACCAACAAACAATAACCCGAATACTAATCAAATAAATAACCCCATGCTGAGGCTACACAAAACAGTTACTCTCAGAAGTATGTTACATCAAAACTAATTGCAAGTATAATAAAAATATTCCTAAATTCCAAGAAAGTTGCCAAGCCAACAACTATGTTTTCAATTTGTGTTTAAAACGGAGTGAAATATATAATTTATGGAATAACCATTTTTTTAAATATTATTTTTTAAATATATTCGGCTCATAACGCAATAAAACGATTAAAAGATATATATGTATATATATTATATATATAAAATATATGAAAATGTTTCCGAAAAACACAAAAATTTGTAAATAATTAAAAAAGAAAAAAAAAACTTCTAAATCCGAAAAAAATGGTTTTAATAAAAGTTTTGTTACTAATAATAAAGCGTTTTAATTTGAACCATTTTCAATCAATAGATTTAAATACTTTCAATTTATTTCATAGAAATTTTATACATATATAAAGTTTTCATAAGATATATTTTAATATCAAAACTGAAATATTTAAGAAGAATAAAAACTTCTAAAATATCTAAATAAATAAAAGAAATAAAATATCGGAATGCCTAAAATATCGATAGGTATTTCTTGATTTTCATCAACTCTTTAATTTATTTCAAATAAAAATATAAAAATACAATGCAAAAGCAGATTTTTGTGTTGTTTTATATTTCACCCATCAAATTGAATAAGTTCAAATACGCTCATGCAACTTGATTCTAAACCAGTCACCTGACAGAACGCCCACCAGCGGCCTATTGTTAATTAAAAACACATGCAGTCGTAGGGCTCCTCCCTCCTTTCCACTTGTGTGTTGCCTTCAAAGTTCGACCTTGTTTTTATTTACACACTCTGTCAATAAAAATGGTTGTGCTATAACAATAACAGAAAAAGCGTTGAACAATTTTACAATTTTGGCACAACAAAAAATTGAAACTAAAAACAAAATGGGAAAAAAAAAACAAATCGTGCAACTGACAGAAAAAAAAATACAAATTTTTGATTGCAATGTTTGTGAAAAACGAATATTGTAGAAAAAGCCAGACTTGTAGTTACCCAGTAAAAGTTCAGTCAAAGTAAAATATTAATATGACATAATATTTTTCTTTAGCACTAATAAAGTGAAATATATCAATAAAAATTCGTATAGAATATTTAATGTTTAGAATCAATTGAGCACGAAATATGCCAACTGAAAGCTTTTTTGGTGTTCTCGGCTTAATAATATATTTTTACTAAATAATTATAGCTCTGCTATATTTAGACATTTTTACAAAAATATTTATGTATGTATGTATACACTTTTTCTGTTTGTATTGGAAATGAATATTTATATGCAGATAGATGCCCAACTATAGGGAATATATAGCAAAGTAATCGAAAAAAATATAAACTGTAATTTTAAATTATTATTAGCATATTAAATGAAAATAAGAAAAAAGCAAATATATTAAGAATATCATTTAAAAGAATTTTTAGAAATTTTCAATGGAAATGCGATTTCTTTAATCATAGCCTTCAATTTTTTTACAACTGTTATGAACAATACGATAAAAAAAAATATATATTATGTTATTTAGTAAAAAAAAAACTTTGTAGGGAGTAAAAACAACAACAACAAACAATGCTTAAATTGGTACATTTAAAAAATTTTATAATATATTTTAGGAAAAATAAAACTATTTACCAACACTGACTAGAGAAAGAGCTTCAATCAATATATTTTGTAATATGCCACCACGCCGCGGGGCATTTGAAAAATTAATATCTCTAATTTGAGCAGGGAATGCAATAAAATAAATGCTGAGCATAAAAAATGTAAACTCATAATTTTATGGTACATAACAATTTTTAGCCCTGTTTATGACGATTTTCATCTCGTTTTTTTGTTCGCATGGCGAGTGCACATGAAATGCAAAACTTTCATTGCGCTGTTTGTTTCTTTTTGTTTGTTATGTATTACACGTATGTAAATAACAAAAGAAACAAGGAGAAAACGTAATAAATTTTTAGTAGATTACAAAAATTGTTCCCTATCAGTGTGTGCGTGTGTGTGTGTCTGTGTTGCACAAAGCAAAAGGCCTGGTTGAGGGGATTTGGGTTTTGCTGGTTTGGGCGCTCAGCTCAATTAAAAAACAGGCGCCGTGCGCACAACAAAGGCTAACAACAAATTTTTTATGCTCCTACAAAAGGATATAAAATTTAATAATGTAAGGCTAGCAGCAGGCGAAAAAAAATGTTAAAATAAAACGACAACAAAATGCGAAACAAAAACTAAGAAAGAAAATAAATTGCAATATTGGCACGCCGACGCTTTAATACACTCAACTAGAGGAAAATTTTATATGAAATACTACAGGAAAATTTTATATGAAAAAATTTCTAAAAGCTTTCACATTAGAATAGATTGAGTCTATGAGCTATATATAGTCTATTCCTTATATCTAGAACATATAAAGGAATTCATTATACCATTATGCCTTGCACATTTCATAGCAAAACAAGAATACCCTACAAAGGGGCATAACAAAGGAAAACGCCAGGGTCGAAATATATAAAGCGCAGTTTCCATATGCGTTAACTCAGCTCCGCCACATAGAGCACTTGAGTGCTTATGTGTGTAGTTCTCTGTATTCTCTATGTCTGTGTGTGTGTATGTGAGTGCATGGGCGTGCTCATAAGTTTCTGTCCTTGCCTCTGTTTATCGTGTGATTTGTATTATTTTTGCCTTTATTGAACAACAACTTGCATAAACTTAGACAAGAACAATCATAATTTACACAATTTACTCTTTCCCCTAGCGCAACGTCAATATGTTGTATATTTTCTGAAATATAATTTTAAAAATTTCGAAAAATCTAAAATTTTAGGGCCACCCAGCGCCGCAGATCCCTATGGCACCAACACCTTTACCGGCTTATCCAACGGAGCTAGTGCCGCAGCAGCCGCCTATGGAGCCGCACAGACGCTGAATGCCAGCGCCTTGCAAGCCGCCGCAGCGACCGTGGCAGGCAAACAGATCGAGGGTAAGTGAACATACAGTGAATGCTTCATAATGTGGATGGAACACAAATAGAAAACTTATTCTGCTGAGTAGATGTTTAGCGGATCATTAATAGAGTAAAATTCAGCTATTTTCTGTAATGTAATATTAATTATGAGCTGATCAATGATAGAGTTTCGTCAATCTATTAATGGTTAATAAATAATTAAAACTTAATTACAAATTTCTCATTGAATTAGATCAGTGTAGACTATAGGTTAATATAGACTATGGATTGATCAGATATAAATAACACTATAAACTTTGGTCGTATCACACATCAGTCAGCAATTTGAGTAGATCCCAGATGATTATGTGAACTAGGAAACAATTCCGTCATCAGTCGTTGATCATTGAACATAATATAACTTCAGCACCTATTAGTCAGTAAGTCATTAATTGATTGATCAATATAGAATCGCTAATCACTCAATCGATCAGTTAGGTAATAGTAAGACTACTTGCATAACATGTTAATTAATCTTTACCTTGACTTGATGGATAATTATACTTTTTAGCAATAATCAGAGAATTTATAGATTTATACCTTAGTTGTCCCATTACCCATCCCCTTGTGGAGCATTCACTGTACTAGCGATCTCTTAAACTATTCGCAAATATTAATTATCTCCCACTTCAATTACAGGACCCGATGGCAGCAATCTGTTTATCTATCATCTACCTCAGGAATTCATAGATACCGATCTCGCTTCGACATTTTTGCCCTTTGGCAATGTGCTATCGGCCAAAGTGTTCATCGATAAGCAAACAAATCTATCGAAATGCTTTGGCTTCGTCTCCTACGACAATCGGCATTCAGCTGATGCGGCCATACAAGCAATGCACGGCTTTCAAATAGGCACAAAGCGCTTGAAGGTGCAGCTAAAGCGGCCCAAGGACTTAGGCAAGCCCTATTAAGCAGCTAACTGAGCCTGATCTAACACCGACAAACACAAATCCCAAAACACTAAACACAAATAGAAATAGAGTAGTTCCATATTGTGCCTTTTAGCGTGAAATGTTTTCGAAACCAAAGGACCAATTAATAAAATCTATCTAACGTTAAGCAAACACCAAAAAAATAAAAAAAAAAAAAAAAAAAAAGCTAAAAAAAATAAATAATTAAACTTGGGGCACAAAACAGCAATTTCTTTCAATGCACAAAACTAAAAGTGAATAAAAATATACAAAATATAAATATTCAAATAGAAATGTTCACACAAAAACCAACCAAAGAAGTAGCTTAAAAGTTGCATCCTTTTGTTGTAATCACTTTTGCTGAAAAAAAAAAAAAAAAACAATTTCTAGTGCATTAAATTTTATATTCATGTGTGGTTGGCAAAACAAAAAAATTCATAAAAAAAATGGGAAAAACCAATCAAAAACTGAGCTGCGGTGTGGCGCCAAAGTATTTTCAAAGCCAAATAGTTAAGCAAAAATGAGAGAAACAAATATTGTGGGAAAATCAATTACAAATTCGCAATCAAAAATCACAAAGTAAAAAAATACAAAAATTTATACTTAATTAATTTGTAGTTGTTAGTAATAAAAAAAACGTTTTTGAATTTGGATAAAGAAAAATATTTGATGGCAAAACAATATCCAGATTAGCTCTGACAAATATTTATATATATATATTTAAATATATATTCATACATATTTATATGTTATATATTTTAGTAGTCATAGCTCTATGCACAAACAAAACATTCGAAATTCCGTTCGTAGCGCACGCACACTGCGATCTAAAAACTAAATGAACTTTTAAGAATTAGTAAAAAAGGGAGAAATCCGTGTAGCTATTTAGCTATAATAACTTCACACAAACTTTATTTTATGTCTGTCGTACTATAAACTTATTAATAAAATCCCAGAAAATTGTTTCTTAAAGCTACCCTAAGCAAAAGCTCTAAAATAATTTTTACTTCGTCACCAACAAGAGCCTAATCATATCCTATATATTTTATTTAATAGTTATAAACTATTCTGTTAAATCATTCAAATTATTATTATAAAACAAAAAGTGTACTTAAATTATACAAATACATAATTCAGTAACATTGATGAATTGATCTAAAGATTTATTACGTATTTAGTGAATATTGAAAGTTAACTTTATGAATATTTTAAAATAAATGCAAAACAAGCAAACGGTTCAATAAAGTAAACATTAAAATCAAAATGACTAAAGCTTGTATTTAATTTTAGAGCGAAAATATGTTTATGCTCTGCAAGAAGCCAGGAAGTTCCTAAGTCCTTGCCAAAGCGATTTAGTTGAGGGATCTTAACACATTTATGCGATTGTTCGTGCATTTTTTATGTGTCCTGACAACTCAACTGGGCGCTGATAGCCCAAAGGAGTCGCTGAGCTGGCCAACGAGCCACATAAATCAAAAACTGCCAACAGCCACGCCCCATCGCCTCTCGCGCACACCCTCATCTGTTCGCGTTGCTGCTGCAATTCAAATGCTGGCGTTAACGCATGAAATATGCATATGTATATGGGGGAGAATAGCAGGATATGTTTGACTATAAGGATGCAACTGCTGTGCAGATGTTCGCTGCATTCCTTGCTATTTTTTATGCACACCCACACTCTGCTTGACCTCCAGCAGAATTTTACTGTTTGGCAGGTCAAAGCAAGCATTGCTCAAACTTCAAGCTGTTTCCTGTCGTAGCCTTGCCCGCTCGCTTCAAACCTCTCAGTTTGATCGAGCATGTGCAGCACAGCACAACAAAATATATAAACAAATATATATAACAAAAATTGAGAACATATTCTTTATATTCATCTATTCTATTAAGGCAAACTCAAAATGGCTGATAAGGATAAAGAAAAAAATAATTATGTAGAAGATGAAGAGGAGCTGCCACAGCGGCCAGAGCGCGTAGATCAGGGCACACAGCGCTCGGGTCGTCGCCCACTGCCGCCGCCACGCCCACAGCGTAACCAGGCGCCAGACGAGGAGCCGCCATCCCCTAGAGGTCGCCATATAATCCTGCCGCAGAAAGTTAACGAATCGCATGATCACACTGCTCCAGACTCGCCTAGCCCCTCCACCCAGCCGCTGACCACAGAACAGGCACCCCCACCGCAAAAGACGGGCATTGCACGACTTTTTAGACGTAAGCAGATCTACGATGGAGATCGCGGTGAATCAAATACCGAGCCTGAAACTAGACGTAGATCAATAGCTGACAGACAGGGCATGAGAACGAAAGCATCGCGCATTCTCTATACAACCGACGAGGAGGTGCGCGAAGCACTCATGGAATTCGCCGTGTTTATCATATTTCTCATCTTAACTTCTTTGGGTGAGTAAAATAGTTCTACTTCTGTTTTAATTGTTTCTAAGTTTTGATTTAATGGCCCTAGCTTTAGGGTTTCTTTTGATACATTTTGTTTCCGCATCTAATTTATAAATACTGTTTTCAATATCCATTGCAGTCACGCTCTCAGTTCGTCATCCCTACATGTTCTATTTTAATGATACGATAAAGAAACTTTTCACAACCCGTGATATGATTATAACTCCCTCGGTCACTATATCATTTGAAAAGATCCTGACCATACCGGACTTTTGGGACTATTTAGTCTATAATTTTTTAGTAAATCTACACGGCGATATGACAGGCATAAGTTCGAACCTTCAACAAATTGACAACCCAGAACCTGTAGGTGGACCTGGAGATGGACCTGGAGATGAACCTGGAGGTGGACCTGGAGGTGGACCTGGAGGTGGACCTGGAGGTGGACCTGGAGGTGGACCTGGGGGTGGACCTGGAGGTGGGCCTGGAGATGAAGAAGACCAAATTGATAATGACGATAACCCAACACGCAAAGATAAACGTCAAGCACATACGGGGAACGCAACGAATCTACTAGGTAGAGTCTTTTTGCATGAGAACCTATTGCTGGGACCGCCCCGACTGCGGCAGATACGTGTGCGCAAAGATAGCTGCAATGTTAACGATGCCTTTATACGTTACTTCAACACATGCTATGCAGAATATTCATCCGGAATGGAAGAGATTGCAGACCATCACATGGGCACCCCATTTAGAACGATGAAGGACTTAGACTCGACTCCCTTGTGGACACAATTAAATTTCTATCGCACTGGCGGCTATACCGTCGACTTATCCTTTAGTAAGCAGAAAAATCTACGGACTATCAAACGATTGATGAATGAACATTGGCTGGATCGCGGCTCGCGGCTTTGCGTGATAGAGTTTAATTTATATAACGCAAATACAGATATATTTCAGCGTGTAAAGTAAGTTGATGCGGGATATTATATAAAATTTACAAGCATTTAAATTACTTATGCCCTTACCCAAATGTATTTAATTCTCGATCTCGGGACATTTAAGAGCAGGAGATTAATAATTGATATATAGCAAGTAAATATATATTTTATAGTAAAAATCTAGATTATTTGTACATACAATATATATATAGTTTATACGATCTAGCCGAGGAGTCAAGCTGTTAACAGGGTATCTAGAAGTCAGTCACTTCCAACACAACGTTTATTGCTCGTATTCTACTAGATTGCAATTTATAATCTTTTTTCTAGATTTATTGCGGAAATACCGCCTACTGGCGGTGTCATACCTCAGAGTCAGCTGCAGACCGTGAAAGAACTCTCATTTTTAAATGATCGAAGTCTGTCCATGACCTGCGTAATTATATTTTGGTATGTTATGGTTGTATACTACACCTTATCGGAAATAACTGCAATACGCAGAATTGGTCCCAAGAATTATTTTAAGTCCATAATGAACATACAGGATTTACTTATATTGGTCGTACGTTGCAACCAAATATCACATATTTTCCGACTCAATATAACTTCTACCACGTATTTTAGTTTGCATATCTGGCTATGATCTATAACGTTTGGCATATGTTCAAGGTGACTGGAATTGTAAATGCATTGAAGTCCAAAGAAAAGTACCTGAGTTTGGATACTTTATGTTTGTGGAATACTATCTATGTGGATATGATGGCCATTTTGGCATTTCTCGTTTGGGTTAAGATCTTTAAGTTCATTAGTTTCAACAAGACGCTCGTGCAGTTTACAACGACATTGAGACGCGTGAGTAATGTGATATAAGAAATTACTAAGAGCATCTAATCAATTTCCTATCATATTTAGTGCTCGAAGGACTTGGCTGGCTTCAGTCTCATGTTCGGCATTGTATTTCTGGCCTATGCCCAGCTGGGTCTGCTGCTGTTTGGCACTAAGCATCCTGATTTTCGCAATTTCCTGACATCTATTTTGACCATGATACGCATGATTCTGGGCGACTTTCAATACAATCTCATTGAGCAGGCTAACCGTGTGCTGGGACCCATTTACTTCCTCACTTACATTCTGCTGGTCTTCTTTATTCTGCTGGTAAATATTGAGATATTTATTACCAAAAAACCGCTGATCACTTTTTACTATTTTAGAATATGTTCTTGGCCATCATAATGGAAACGTACAATTCCGTAAAGAGTGAAATAACTCAGGGTCGCAGTCAGCTAGGCGCATATGTCTATAAGAAAATTTCAGCTTTCTTCTATATGATTAGGCACTGTGGACGCAAGCGTCAAAATCAAGTTCTGCCACAGCCGACTGAAACCGAAGAAGATTTAGGCACTGATATGGCTAACAATCCCTACCAACCGAGGGAAAGAATTCATTTACGCAGAAATCTAACGGAAGCCGAGTAATTGAATATAGCAGAAGTTACTGTTATAATTTTAATATATCTATATATTTTTGTTTTCTATAGGGCACACTATTTCGCAGATGTACCTAATGAAGTCAGGAATAAGGATATGTACCGGTAGGTGCCAAATCATTTCTTTATATATATTCGAAAGTCATCAACTGTGCCAATTTCCCTCAGTCTCAACAATCGCGTTTCTTTGCTGGAGGAAATTCTTGAACAGCTGGTTACCAATATGGATGCCATATTGAAGCGTGTGGAAAGCGAAATTAAGAAAAACAAATGAAGCTGTTTCTGTAGTTTTCAATGATTTGTTTGAATTCAAGTAAAATATTTAAATATAATCAAATTAAATTTGTTAAGTTTCACTCGTTGGACAGCAGCAACAGCGGCAGCCAAGCGAAGAAGCCACAGAAACCTCCAGCGCTAATCTCTGCCAAATCTGCCCTAACGGGAGTTTCAAAGCGTTGCCACCTAATGTGTATTTAGTTGGAGAACAGAATGCGGACCAGCGTGCCAAAAGGACATGTGGCCCACGAGCGGGGCGCATCATTAAGTATCTGGCGTTTAGGACCAGGTTGCTAGGATACTAGGGTACAAACACTTCTAGCCACCATGTTGCGGTTGTGGCACGTGTGTTTGTGTGTGTGGGTGTGGCCAACAGCAACATCTGCGCTGAAAACCAAAGGATGGCAGAGTTATGAAATAGCTTGTATATACAAATTGCATTTAAAAACGTGCAAACAAGGTAACGAAATTTAAAAGAAAATAATAGAAAAAAGGAATTAAATACATTCAAAGGAACATACTAATTTTAAAATAAATCGAAAATAGTAAAACTGTAATATTTAAAACAAAGATAAACATAAGTTTACTTTAAGTTTCTCTCAAAACTCTTCAAATAATGTTAATTAACACAGGAATTTCATGATAACAGAAATGTTGTTGAGCTGCAGTGAAATCAATACAAATATGCAATAAGCAATCCTTTACATATCAAATAGATTTTACTTAACAGCCATACTCTCGTGTTATTCCACGTTTGTAAATACAAATACAAAATACAAATTGAAAACTTGCCGTCGAGGCTCGGCAGGGAACAGCTATGTAAATACAAAACTAAATAAAAGCGAGCAGAGAACTGAAGCAGACAAATTGCGCTGGCAGCACTGCCACCATCGCTGCCGCCGTCAATTGCCACTTGAAAAGGCGCCAATTGCCACAGGATAACTAGCGGGCGGCAGTGCGGCATGAGGCAATGCCATAATTACTTACCTTTATGCTTTATGCATGCAGAGAAAAATGTTAAAATGTTGCTGTTGCTGCTGCTGCTGCTGCTGCTGATCATCATCATCGTCATAAAGATGGCGATGATGATGCCAGGCGGTTGGCAGCGGGCCAGTTGAAGCGGCATTGCCCACTATACTGCTCAAGCCCGTCCCTCATAATGTACAAATATGTCGGCCACTTGTGCATTCAATGGGCCTGCGATTCGCCCAAACAACAGCAGCAAAATGAATTCGAAAGAAAAAGCCAAAAAATCGAAATGCTCAACTAAAAAATGCCCTGCTATAGCAAGGCGTAACATATGTATGTATGTGGATCAAGCTTTCAATACTTACATTAGTCTGCACATACGATGAAATTTACCGAAATTGTGCTTCTCCTTCTATTCACTCTGTTCCGCTCTAACTGCTACACGATGCAGTATACCCCAACAATGTTGGGCAAAGGGTATAGGAATATTCGTAAAGTGCCTGCACACAAGCGTAGGCAAAATGAAATTGACGCGTAAATATTAAAACAGGTAAATATAAAATAAAATGGCAAAAATTACAACTGCTTTACTGCTATTTGCACACAACATAAATCAACAGTGCTTTAAAGATATCAATTCTATTAATTATGTACATATGTGCACTTACACATACATATAACACGCACACACACACATACACTGAGCAATATGGCGTCTACACACGTAATTATTTGTAACTGTACTATTATATTTCAAGCTGCTATTTTCGTCTCTCCGCGATCGCTTACTCAAATGATATGCATATCAAAATGTTAACTTCTTCCTCTTGGTTTGCACAACACTGTTAACGCTTAAACTTACGACTTTAGACTGTTAAGCCGCACTAGCTTTAACAGAAGTCTGTTAAAGGCCAACAACCAAACGAGGGACAGTACAAAAAACAATTTAAGCAGCTTAGCGACCACTGATTTAAAAAATATATATATATGCGATAGGCCAAAAGGATAATGCGTAATTAACTGACCATAAGTTAACAATTAATTAAACGAACAACTCATTAACAGCAGAGAGACAGTAATCAAGCACTTTATTAACACTATCATCATTTCCAATGCTACAACACCTATCGTACATAGCACAACATGTAATGAGAGCACTTATGTATGCAGGTAAACATTTGTCAATTGTCCATTCTCATTTCAAAGCGAAAGTGGAACAGTTTCATTACCACAAAATTAGATCACAAACTGGTATCGAAACTGAAACTCGAGGTCTCTACAAAACACGGAGTTCGGCAACTTGGAATTCAATTTATGAGGATTAAGGATAATCGTTATCCGCCTTAACCTTAACTTACAATGACCATTCAGTTCACTGGAAATCATCGAGAAGACCAGCAAATGCATAGGAAAGAATTATTATTCCACTGGACAGTTCACTTCTTAAGTCGCGTTCTATATCGCATCTGCCGTTTCTGTGCATTCGGAAACTTTAAGTATAATACGGACACAAACAAATTGTTTATATGTCCATATGGGGCCTTTACAAAATACTTCACCAGGAGTGTCAAAATATTTCTTATACTTGTGGATTATGCTAATTATGTTTTTATAGTATTTACGTTTTTTACTCATTACCTTCAGAACAGGTCGATATATCGTAGTGGATATCATTTTTATCTAGAAATTTTAATATACACATGTGTTAATTGGCAGTTTGTAAAGCTTATGATCTTCCTACATAGCTGGAAAAGTAGTATCTCCTGCGTTGCTGTGATCAACAAAGTGCTGGAAATACATAAGACTATGATATCATCCTTTAGCAATTCATATTTCACAGTTGAGCATAGCCTACTTTTGATATATTTTTTCGAATTTGTATTCACTATTATTCAACTGTGGAATCAAATAATGAGGTTTACCTATATGCTTGTCTTCAAATACCGAATAATATTATTCGAGCTATTTTATTGGGCGTACTTTCTATACCAGTTGATCATAATAGCCTGGCATCGGGTATTACTTAGTGCCATAAAAGCTTGTAAAAATAGAAACCGAGATCGTAAACGACTAATTTATATATATAAAATGTATTTTCGTATATGTGAAGTGCACGGAGAGGTTACAGAACTCTGGTTACGCATATCGGAAGCCCTTTTGGGTTGTATAACCATGTTATCCGCGGATATTTCGGAGGAGCTATATGACGTTATCTACCAAGAAAAGAGCACTACGGAGAAATGGAAATTCTTCATTGTTTTAAAAGTTGGGAACTGCATAGCTCCATTTCTAAAAGTTTTTCTATTAGGTCTATGTACTGTTCATATAGAGAACCTAACAAAACTTCTATGTGACCACATTTATATAACTGACCTGCTTTACTGGTCGAGATCGTATTATGGACTTGAAAAAAGTCATATATGAAACTGCTGGATTGTCAGGTATAGTATTATTTACAATATTAAGATCAGTTAACGATACATTTCATTTCCAGTTCTATTGCTTCTGTCTTCAGCAACACACCAGTCCGATTAGAAATCACATATGGCACAGGGGACAATCTATTAATATTGAATTTCTTTTACGATTTATATGGATAGCTTTTCTGAATGCAATGTCAAATTTACAGTATGCTTTTACAGAGCAAATGGCTTTGAATACCTTATATTGATATACTAAAATACTTGTAGACTCTGAATATTTTCAATTTGTATTTCAAATTATTAGTGTGCGAAAATTTATGTATCATAATAAAATAATAATTTGATAGTTAGAATTAACGCTGAGATGCGGAACTGCTCCTTATTTGCTACCGGATATAATTATGCATAATTTATACCAATGTTAATTGAAAGTTTCTAAAAATAATTATCTTCCTTCATAGCTGGAAAAGGAACGAAACCTGTGTTGCTGTGATCAACAAGGTACTGCAAATACAAAAGATATCACCTTTTAATTACTCATATTTCCCAATTATATATTATGTAACTTTAATATCTTTTTCGAATTTGTGTTCACTGATATTCAATATAATAATATTATTAATATTATATATATATTATATTAATATTATATAATAATATTATTCGAAATAATTTACTGGGCGTACTTTCTATACCAGTTGATCCTTATAACCTGGCATCAGGTGTTGTTTAGTGCCATTGGGTGTATCTCTTACAACCGCAAATATAACTGAGACAGCAGGAAAATACTCTAAGCAGCTTTGCAACCACTGAATAAAAAAGAATACATACAATATACAATAGCCCAAATGGATAATGCGAAATAAACTGACCAAAATTAAACGCACAACTCATTATCAGATGAGAGATATTAATCAAGCTCTTTTTTTTTATGCAAAGTGTTGCATCATTGTCATCATTACCAATGCTACAACACCTATTAAACATAGCATAAAATGTAATAAGACCACTTATGTATGTAGACATTTGTCAATTGTCCAGCTCATAACAAAGTGGAAGTGGAGCAGTTTCTTTTCCACAAAATTAGATCATTAACTGGTACCGAAACGGAAACTCTACCCTCTGAAATTAGTTGCTTTTAATGTTCGTCAAGAGCATTCGAGCTCCCTATAAAGCACGGAGTCCGACAACTTGGAATTCAATTCAAAATTTACATACAGTGACAGATCAGTTCAGTGGAAATCATCGAGAAGACCAGCAAATGTATAGGAAAGAATTATTATTCCACTGGACAGTTCACTTCTTAAGTCGCGTTCTATATCGCATCTGCCGTTTCTGTGCATTCGGAAACTTTAAGTACAATACGGACACAAACAAATTGTTTATATGTCCATATGGGGCCTTTACAAAATACTTCACCAGGATTGTCAAAATATTTCTTATACTTGTGGATTATGCTAATTATGTTTGTATAGTATTTACGTTTTTTACTCATTACCTTCATAGCAGGTCGATATATCATAGTGGATATCCTTTTTATCTAGAAATGTTAATATACACATGTGTTAATTGGCAGTTTGTAAAGCTTATGATCATCCTACATAGCTGGAAAAGTAGTATCTCCTGCGTTGCTGTGATCAACAAAGTGCTAGAAATACATAAGACTATGCTATCATCCTTTA